ACATATCAATTAAGGTAGAACGGCGGATTTTTTGTCCTTTACCGATCTCTTTGCCGACTGCATGAGTTACAGAGGCAATTGCATCTTCTGCCCCCATTTTCTTTACGCCAATGTCCAGGGGTAAGTTTCGAAAGCAGCTCTACGTACTTGGCTGACGAACTATCAACTCGAGGCTTTTAAGTAGGACTGAGGTCATTGCACTTTGATGCAAAATATGCTCTCTTTGCCAGGAAAAATTCTTGACGTACACGCAAGTGGAACACGTTTTTCAGAACGTCACATGAAAAGGCAGTATACAGCTTCAGCAACAGGGGCACACTTTGTCCGTAACGGGAGAATCAATAAATCGAAGGCCAGGCAAACATTGTCGAACCTCTTCTTCTATGAAGTGAATAAGTTATTCACTAGCTGCTGCTGAAAATGAAATTAAGAATTTATTAAGGGGCTGATGATCTTTCTCGAGCTTGCCCGTTAAACTCATTCAGGTACACGGGAGAAAAGTTTGCGGCGGATTTGGTGTTGGACAGGATCCAATGTTACGCCACAAGCTCTTTCGACCGCTATCAGCAAAGCAGAGATTAATATAGAGCGTACTGAGTTGTTTTATTTCCGTGGTAATTTTGGAGGACAGAAATAGGCAGAGCTGAATGCCACTGCGTCGATACGTTCTTTCTTTCAGCTGGCGAACTAACCAAAAAGCTGATGAAGTAATTGTACTTTTAAAAATTAAAATTTTCTGCGTCGGGCACTTAGCACTGAAGCTGTCATTAGGAAAAGTGACAATATTTGGATGCTATTAAGCTCTTCCTGGCTTCGAGTGGCATCAGAAATCACAAGTTAGGTGTCGCTTGAAAGAAATGGCTGCAAATTCTCAAAGTTCTACGTGTATGTTTTTCGACAATAGGTGGCCTGTGGAGTTTTACAGCGATATTTGCTTACACGCCCTTATGATGATAAATAGGACATGGGTTGAATACAACAAATGCAATGATTTTTTCGGGAGTCACTGAGTGAATACATGATTCTTCAGAACTTAATCCAGGCAACATCGAACGTTATATTCGAAGCAACGGTTTAGTGAGGACAGAATGCATAAAACCTTCCTCATTGAAATGAATTAAGTCTCCCGCGACTAGACCATCGTTCGTAACTGATGGCAGAAACAAAAGCTGAGACTGTAAATCCATATAGAAGAGTTGCATCGCAGTCAGGTGCGATATAGACACTTTTTCAGATGTAGAAACCTTTTCTAGCAACGCAGAAATAGGCGGTCGATACCATTAAACGATAAAGAAATTTTAACCTCTTGTTTGATGCATCATCTTTTCGAACGAAAGTAAGAATTTTTCCGCCATGCGATTTTGTCTCTGATGATTGATTCAGGCGGGAAGGAGTCAAAGTCAGGAAGGGACAAAATGGAGTCGTCAAAATTATTACTGAGCCATGACTTTTGTACTAGGGTAAAAAAGACATGAGGGATAAAATCTGTGCAAAAAATTGTTCAGGGTCATAATTGATTATCAGTTCTTCTGACTAATAAAGTAAATTACATATCTTATCCACTGGCTTAAAATTTTTTGGAGCGGTGGCACAGTTTTCGTAATTGGGTTTTAAAATATAGTAAAACAGAATTAGAGTCCCAGAGCGCATAAAAATGCCTTAGTTAGCTGCTATTTTCCATAATCATTGAATTACTCTACAGCTTCCTCGGTGCAGCGGTGTGAACAACGGGTGTGACATGAAAGTTCCAGACCTGAATCCGTTGCTTCAAACTGAGACAGTTTGCCGACGCATGAATGAGAGACAAAAAACACAGATCCTACCCGCGACAATCTGCATCTTTGTCATACAATTAATTTTGTCGTATAAAAAGCTGATGATGCTTGTTTCGAAGAATAGCACAGCGGAACGAATAATGGTTTAAGTTTTAATTTCAAAAATAATGTTCTGAACTAAATTCGCTCTCATTTATTTAATTAATGTACGAAATAAATTAACACTGAGTAATGAATATGCGAACAATGACCAAAAGAGAACAAGTTCCGCAACGTCCTGCTTCTCAGGCAAAAAAACACTTACAAGAAAGGCCAAACTTGGTGTAATTCTCTTCGCTTTGGGATGACAAGCTTAATCCGAACAAGATTCGTAGCTGAGTTCAAAGACGCGACGGATGCAGTTGTTTCATATGGTAAAATAGAAAATATATATTGTAAGAGTGAGAACATGGAGAAAAACGATAAAATAAGCTTAAGTATTGTAACGTTTATTAAAAACACTCGTCTGAATAGAGGAAATTTCGCCATTGAATTAAGCCCTAACAAACTTAAGACATATCGTCTAGGGTTTGCCTAACCAGCAAAGAATCAATGGTGTTCACTCGTTCCTCTCAGGAACTCGGTTTTGAAATTAACCACGACTTCCAGTCACGTGTAAGGTTCTCACGTTACGTTTTTCATCGCGGATTTACCGTTAAAATGATTCTAAACTTTTGTAAAATAAGCAAACTAATGTTCTGTTTATAAATTCATTGTCTGAGCTAAAATGCAAAATAGCCGACTAAGCTCGGTTGCTCACCGATGAATTTCATCACTGACAACAAGTGACATTCGCAGACTACATAAATACAATTCAAAGTCATGATCATTGTGTGTACCCACAGGATATCGCTTAGTTTTAGTGACTAAATCAGTGAACAATCGAACAATGCCGTTCATCTGGTTTTATTTAGTATACCCGAAGCATGAATCAAAAATACGCAGATTTGTTTCACACATTTTCTTGCCAGGAAACTGGAAACTGCTCAATAGACAATGAACTCTCATTGAAAGAATTTTGTTCATTAGGCGATGAATAAAACGCAGAAAGTTTTATTAAACTAAATGTGAAAGTTGTTAACTGTTGGAATATTGGTCTTCCTTACACTTTTATGAGGGGGATTTTCGAGTGTCCTTTATTTCAAGTAGCTAGTGGCTGGGTACTGATCTGCGTTTTCACCTCGTCAGGTAGGAGCACCTTATGTTGCAGACAGAACTGATAACAGGGATGTGACAAGCACAGTGAGTATTATAAATTTTTTTCCAAGAGTGGTATTGATTACGAATCACTGAATGAAGAGAGGTGAGTGACCCGACTGGAGCTCGAATCCGAAACTTTTCTCTTTTAAATC